TCGCGCACAATTTCCCACACTTTCGCCTTTTACTCTGTAAGCGTCTTTGACAACATTCCCCGTACGCACGCATCGGTATTCTTTCAGTTGAAGAATGAGGTTCTTCTAATTAGACGAATCGTTGCGTATAGCAATTGTCACGTTAACAGGAATTATATTTATTTATTTCGAAATATATCACTTTTTTTGCGCGTGTTATGACAGTTTTCTCACTTTACTCTATACGCAAATATATAATTAGAATAACGCAAAAACCGCGAAGCACATGTATATCCAATCATCTTTTTTTCACAGATCGGCTAGCAGACTCTAAGGTATAGGAATCGGCGTTGCAACAGTGATTTGCAAACAGAGAATTGACGTAAGCAGAACGAGAAATAAGAAAATACACTCTAGAATCCATTAACCTGATTTATTGGTTCACTATATATCGGTCAGAGTTCATTCTTTTTATCTCAAGCAATTATTATCACTTTACGCGATATGGACGGGAATATTAAACACGAAAGATATATTGGTTCTTGCGACGGATAAGGACGATAAAATATAAATAACTGTGACTCTCCATCGCGCAGCCATGCATGCGACTTAATTAAATTAGAAATCATCTGTTTTTTTTTGTTTTTTTTTTCCAAATCAATTAACGTTGCAAATTTTCAATGTATAAATTGTAAAAAAATAATGTAACGAAAAAAGCGACTGTTTTTCTCTTTGATCGAATATAATGTGAATTGTTCTTAATGCACGTAGCGAAATCGATACTTAATCTATCTGTTTTTTTTGTCACACGCGATAGATCATGAATTAGAGCAAATGAACTGTAAACACTACCGCCGCTGTATTGTTCATAGAACATTGCGCATTGGTCTTACGTGTAAACCTAAAACACGAGACTCTCGCGTCGAGTTGATGTACCGCGCGCTAGATCGCGTAAAAAGAATATCGCGAGCGATGTCGTTAGTTCATTACTATCGTTGAGAAATCTTCCCTGTCATTAAAGCGCGATAGAGGCCCAGGTACCAATTAAGAAACGGTATCGCCGCAAAGCTGTCGCAAATTTATATGTTTACGGTTACATTACGCGTGATTTTCGATCGCTTAATAACAGCGATCGTCCTAATCTCCCGGCAGGCTCGCACACGAAATTATCCGTATATGCAAATGGTAATTATACGCGTATTTGAGGTTCTTCCTCGGCGCGGTCAACTGAATTATTAATCGGAAAGACGAGATTAACGAGCCACGTCGATGGACGCGATAAATTAGCTTTTTCTCTTTTATTTTTTTATACTTTTTACTCTTTTTAAATTAATACGGAAACGCTTGTATGATGGGAATTCGGGGAATGGTCATTCAGTTTTGCTTTATCGCGGCTGTTATTAATTTTCAATCCGCGAGATACATGCGCTGCGACATCATTAAAACGTGTATCGATAATGTTTAGTTTGTTCGACAGCTAATGATAGGTATCAATCGACAAGTCGACTTACGCGTACTTTATCACAACAATACGACGTTACGACAACAACACGGCCGCCGGCACGACAGATACAACGAAACAATATGATTTATTATCTTGCAACGATCTTGAATTTATACATCGCAAAATGCTAATCGACTCACTGCATCGAGTTTCATATTTACTGGAGATTTAGACACGTCGTATCTTTATTCGAGATATAAATATTCATGTTGCGCAAGATTCACGGTTCGGGCGATATATGAAGTGCCAAATATATTTTTTCCAAATACACGCTTGTGAATAGGATCGAAAAGATTTTAAAAAGATAATTAAAAAGTCGTATGAAAAATTGCTCGAGAAACCAGAGTTAATAACCGCCATAAGTTATCGGGTAATAAAATAGGTGTGTGAATTGCTTCGATGTAAGAAAGTAGCACAATTGGTCAAGGCGTTTGTTCCAGATATGAGAATCTCATTACTATGTATACATATGTAATAAATGAAGACGGAGATTTCTCAAGTTCTCTCATAAGCTAATAACTTCCTTTAAATTTGGTATTTTTTGAAAAGAACAATCCCGACATTTTTTTAAGAATTTTGAACGTGTTTTGATCATTGCATCCTGACAATGTATACCCTCGAATCTCTCTGGGTTCTCTCCAGTCAAGGAGTTACAGTCGCGCGTGGCCGCTCGTCTCACGCCGCGCCTCGGAAAGAAAAGCACGGCCGATGTTTTATGGAAGCCCCGCCGACCATAAATTATAATCAACGTCCGTGCCAACACTCTAACAAACTTCCAGGCGCGTCATTAGGGCGCTGCTGGCGGAGGTGCGGGATGGCGATTGTACGCGCGCATACGCATTTGTTGCGCGCTCGTTATTAAGCGCTCTCTCGCGCAGATGGGATATCCCGTAGGAGTTCCTCCCTCTTTCTCCTCCTCTCTTTCTTTCTCTGATTAGAGAACCGCATGTCCTGTATCCGGTGCAAAGAGCTTACTCTCGTTGTTACTGTCATAACGCGGAAGAACGAAGGCGATGTCTCTAAAGCTGAGTTTACGCGGTTCGCTCTTGGTAATCATCCGAGAGAATCATTCAGAAATGAAAGCGCGATGAATCAGATGGAAAAGGCAAGAATGAAGAAGGTGGTACTGCTTCTCTAGTTTCGTTCTCAGAATTAACACTAAAGAAAGACTAACTAGAACAAAGCAGTCAAAATAATTATTAATTAAAAAAAAAATACTTAAATTTATGACGGTGCATTTTCTCAAATTTTCCGTGACTTATGTTGCAATATTTAAATTATTAAGTTGATTACTTTACTTTTTCCCATCATTCTTTTTTCAATTTATAATATTCAATATATGTATTTCAATATATGTAATTCAATATATGTATTTACTTCAAGTAATCAAACACACATCAATACTTAAACAATAGAAATTAATCATCGGTAGTTCTAGTGTTAATCATTATAATCGAAAGCTGAATGCAAAGACAATTAACAAATAAGATTTACTCTTTAATGAATTAAATATAAGTAAAATACTATATAACGCAGACAAAAATAAAGACTCTCGAATTAAACGTTCGCGCTAAATGTGAGATACAGATGATGGATCCTTAAAGTTTATTTTCTTGTAGTACTTTGTTTGCAGGGTTGTTCGGTCTTGCGAGGCTTTGGGATCGGTGCCGCGTGTCTAAACAAAAATCCATTCAGCCGTTTAAATGACTCATTCAGGACGATCATCAAGCGTAGACCGTGTAAATTCGCCTTGATGCTCGCACGTTATTCCGAAGAGATGATTTCATCACTATGCCCTACGAGACAAGTGGGCGTCGCGAGGAATGTAATTCTTCGGAGTCACGGCGGAGGAGGGAGGTAAAAGCAACGACGTGAGTGTGCGAAGAGGTAACCTTCTGCAAATTACGGCGGCAGTAAATCGGAAAGCGTTACATTTATCGCTCGCGATAAATCGCTGGGAAAACGCGTGATTACGGTTACAATCGCTAATGCGTCGTCCGCCCGTCATCGATTCTAATTAGTAATTTAAAGAATCCCGCGAAAACACAACACACAACACATATGTTTTATTTATATAATCTAACTGAGCTAAATAAATTAAAAGTGTGATTTCTATTAATTTGCAATGAAAAATACATTAATAATATAACTAAATGGATAATGATATTAATTTAATATTAAGATACTTTTTGCATTTCAAGTGACTCTGTCAATATTTAAAAACTTTTTATACTTTCGCAAATATGTCATAACGCATACAAATGTTCAATAAAATCTCGTTTTTTATAATTTGAAAAATATTCACATTACTGCGTCTCTTAAATTATCAAGCTATTACAAATTAAATAATGTTCTTCCATTAAACTGTTACTACAAAAAAAATTAATCTTAAATTCATCGAAGGATGCATTTTACAATATCTTCATATTTTTTCTTTGAAATATATAACAAGTTAATTGACAAAAGTATGTTCTGCCACATAAACGTTTCCAATATTCTTTTTGCAAAAATGTTACCGATATCTCTAGCTTATCGTTACACGGATATTAATGCATGGAATGTACAAATTGCGTATAAATATTGCGACCGTATTGTGGCACTAGGATACCTTACCTATGAAGCTTTTCGTCTGATTGTACGTTTTTGCCGTTCGTACCGGATATGATCAATGTTGCTAATGAGGAAAACGATTACCGGTGAAGAAAAAGGACACATCCACCATTACCGTGTAGGAAAGAGGTTTTACGTTCGCGTTATTTCACAGAGATGATTTCATCAGGGCGCTTTATGGGACGAGCGTATGCTGTACCTGCTCTAAGATGTAATAGACTTTATGAGGATGTTGTGTAGTTCACAAGCAACCTTAATACTGCTTTGCCTGACAAACGTAATGTCTGTCAACTTACAATATATAGGTAATAGGAAGTAATTTGCACCGGTCACTATTTTAAACATATACAAGCTGTTCTGGAAAAGTGCGCTTTCTCTTAAGCGCAGCGATTCGTGTTTAACGATTTAAACGCAATTTTTCTGTGGTCAAGAAATCTCGTTTGGACGGCGTTCTTATAACGTAATATCTATTAAATTATTATTCGGATCAGTGTACCGTTAAAAGTTAAGGTCAAGATGAAGTTAAATGAAGATTCAAATATATCTCAGCCTTTTTTTACGAATAAAATTCTAATTCCATTTCAAGTGAAAGAATCTTCATTTTGACCACATTAGTAAAAGCGGCAGTTTGTAAATAAAATTCGTATGTAAAGTAACGTTGAAAACTTGAAAATCAGGAATAGAAACGATCATGTATAATGTATGTATATATACCCGCGATCATATCTATCTGCTTAGCAAAGTCATTAATCATAGCAATATATTAATATTTAATTATTACTAGACTATTAAGTCTGTAACACATATTATGTTTTAGATTTATCGGTTCCTAACGTTACATGTTTTTTAAATGAATTTTTTAATTAGTTTGTTTGTTAGGACTTTTGGAATAAATGAGAGCACTCACCTTCCACTAAAGATGTTAAGAGCGTGACGTTGGCGGCCTTCCTTCTACCGGCTGGCAGATTCAAACCAATTTTTTCCAGCTTTTCCCTAAGCAGACGCCCGCCGTTTTTGGATTTCGCCCTGCAAAATATATTTTTGCATGAAACCGTTCATATTTTGCTAACAATGTCAATGTCATTTAAATAGCATCATTTTATCGATGAAAAATTCATGGCATTATTACAAGCATAAATTGCAAGTGTCATCTAAATATTTCGACTCTCATGTGTTTGTGTATAATTTTTTCAAATATTTGTACAATTATCTTTTGTATTTTCCCATTACTTGGAAGAATAATTATACATATTGCATTTACATTTCACGTAATTAACATTTGATGTAAATCGTAGAACTCGGCCAAAAGTTAAAGCTCTCGTGTAGTGACATCGTAGCCCAAACCGACACGATTACGTCAGCGAGACGATTATTAATTTGATTTATTCTCGTGCGTGAATTTTACGTATATACCGCGAAACAAGAGATTCATCGGTCCATCGTCATATTTATCGATCAATTATTTCTCTACCGTTCTCCACCAAATACTTGTTCAGACACACGGCGAACGCCCACGTCTCGACTCGTGATCGTTCCGGCGCGTGAGAATTTCGAAACGGAACTCCTCCATTAATCATTTCGCCGTGATCTCGAAAAAGATGAAATCGTGGCGCGACGAGAGGGAACAGCGGCAACGAGAGGGAAATACGGTAGGATTAGCATAATCCGCGGACTACGTGTGTCATCGGCGATTGAGCAAGCTCGACGCGCGCTCGAGGATGCGCTCGTACCGTTCATGCACGTGCGTTTTGCGGAATAAGATCGAGCCTGAAAGAAAGAAGCACTGTGTTCTTCGCACAGAGTGTGCTATTCAAGCAAAAGCGTGAGCACATCAGGCGAATAGAATTTTTATCAATACTTTTATGGTCTCCTCCGACACATGTATCTGGGTTAATCATTGGGCGACGTAGCGACCCGTGTGCGATCGTAAAGCTGAAACGTTTATGTTTCACGATTAATTAAAGAAGTAAAGACTTTTTCGCTGTAATCGTGATTTCGATTAATTAGACGCGCCGTTCATTCGTTGTTTCAAAGAGCGTTTGATGACGATTAACATTAATTGTAAGGCTAAAATCGTGATTCAAGTTACAAATGAGAAGTATTGGCAAATTTCTATGTTAAATACCTTTAGAAAGTTTCATTAGCTAAATAAATAGCTCTTTATTAAAGGATACAAGGACAATGTGTACGTCCTTTCGATATTGAATAACGCAAGTAGTTTGATTAATATCGTATCGAATAAATACATATTTTTATATAAATTTTATAAAGAATAAATAACTTTTATTAATTAAATATATGCTTCTATACTAAAAATTTCAATCGTCCTCTTTTTCTTCATACTGAGTTGTGTATCGGATGTGTCTCACGTGTTCTTTCAGACGAAGTCTATCGAGACATCATCAAGAATTGCGTTTTAATCCTTTTACAAACCGGACAGCGACTTTGTGTCGTTAATCCACCGGCGAAGTAAGAAGCTGCGAAGTAAATTTTTTTTCGTGGAACATCAACGGGAACGCGATAGTAGCAGGGACTTTTTTCTTAACACACCCTGTCCATCCATCATCTTGGCCTGTTATAACGGTAACGCGTATCGCCTACCTTTGTTCGGTTCGGCTGCCCGGTCCGCCCGGTAATCTTTCGTCTCGCTCGGCAATTAATACATTTTACCGCTACAGGTTTTTAATATCGGCTCCACCAGTCCTCCGAATTTACGTTCTACATTTCGCTCGTTTTATTTTCTCTGAATCGCACTCTGCCGTGTTATTATTTGGCGATATTGTATAGGTACATTTTCGAATAGAATTGAAAAGAGAGCGATTAATTATCTATATATTAATTACCTCTGCGACTAAGATCGTATTTTTATGTACTTTTTATCTGAAAGATGTGGGAACGCATAAAAGTTTAGCATCCATGTTTTAAGAGTACGTTGTAATATATATTACAGAACATATAAATCGTCACATTGTATTCTTTTATTTATTTGTTAAATGTGGGTAAAGCTTTGTAATATGTTAAAACATCTTAATAATTGTTAAAAATTTAATTAATTTAAATTATATTATTAACGGTCATTCGAACAAACGTCATGTTTCATAATTTTTCTCCTTCTAATTTATATCATCACATTACAATAAAAAACTCAAGATTGGATATTAAACTGCCAGAACTGCTGAAAGTTTCCAACATGCGCTCTAGTTTCCGCCTATAGTTCCGTTCGTCGCAATTTATATAAAGTAATTCATACCTCATAATCAAACTATATACATAAATCGATGCACGCAGATTTCAAAATTGGTTTCAAACGACATGATAATCGTCATTGATTACATACGATCGAGCAGACACGGGCTGATTCCGCATGTTCCGACGCAGAGCGGAAGAATTTCGACGAATCAGACGAATGTAATTGACCGCGGTCGTGTGACCGGATCGAATTCTCGATACTTAACGATCGCTGTCGTTCCTCGGTACGTGACGGAAACGATGCTGCGACTCATTACCGGAGATTTGTCCCGAGAAGAATCCTCGTCCCATTCAAACGCATCGTTCTCCTTTACGTGAGGGTTTCCGCGAGAGATTCGCAACCCTCGGCGTCCTCGGCGACTCCACCGATAGGAAGATCTTGAATGGTGGGATCCCTTGCTCCCTCTGATTGCTCGAGACGTCCTCGAACGCCTAGCATCGTTAATCGTCTACTGACGCCACGCGACGTCAGAAAACCAAAGGACTTGATGATCAAGGATCATTCAAATATCCTCCGTCGTTCGTTTCGCGAGAATAAAGCGGACGGTAAAGAATAACGCATTCATATATGCGAGCGGAATGTTGCACGTAATTTACTGAAATATTCAAGGTTTCCAATACTTCCTTGCTGATTTCATATTTAATATATTAAAATGAACATTTAAACAATATATATTTAAAAATATATCTATTTTTTTCGTTAATATTATATCGTTACGTTATTAACTTTCTAGAACTCTTCATTAACTTAAAATTAACATAGATTATATGTCATATGTCTCTCATAGATTTGGAATAACGAATAGTAAAAATTAATATTAATAGTAAAATACTATAATAATTATATTATTTTTTAGATTTTTCTCTTTTTCTATCATGAAAACCAAATAATTAAACTTTGCTTTATAATTTATAAATAGCTCGAATTACGCTAAGATAATATCTGAATAGAACATTCTGACGTGATTCAAAAAACTGTTTTGTACTTCTTTTTATCGACGCCTTTTAGTCAATCGAGGAAGTGATACTGAAATGTTGCTCGCGCAAATAAATTAGATCGACAAATTGATTGATCGACCGACGCTGTATTTCTACGATTAACAGATTTAATGAGAGTCGCGCCGAGAGAATATGCGATAGATTCTCTACGCCATCATTAGTTTTTTGTCGCAAAAGTGAAACTTAACTACTATATTAGCATGACTATAGCTCATAATAATCAATGTACGCATAATGTCTTTTTTAATCTGAATACATTGCAGTAAAGAAAAACAGACAAATAAATTCTAGATCAATAGAACTTTTGTCCTACGGCGGAAGTCAGCCTTGTTCTCAAGCTTGAGCGACCTTGTGCGCGTGATTTTCAGACTTCCAAGCAGATGGTGATCAATCGTGGAAGTCTGTCCGACAGTAATTTACAGAGCAGGTGAGAGTTTTGCTAATCTCAGGTAAATTTCAGATTCGCGATAGAGCGCCCAAAGGCTGTTTCGCGTCGAAGTTTGAAAGTCGAACGTCCCAGGATATATTAAACACGGAAAAATTACGAAAGAATGCATCCAAAGCATATAATGTGCATTTTTTTACTATAATAACTTGCAAAAGATAATACATTTGCAAATTGTGTAAAATTCAATTCTTTTCGTGACCCTCCGTATGTTTTGATATCATCGATTTAGATGTAATATTATTTCGACAAGTTTCTTGCTTTCTTTTTGTCGTAATATAACTCGTATATCCATCTTTGCTTTATATTTACCTGTGTTGCCTATCCCGCCTCGTAACAAAGAAGTCGATTGACAGTGTTATTCGAATCTTTTATATTACTCGATAGCGAGTCCACGATATTCCTAGTAGACGTTACCAATTGGCACCAGGACGCTGGTACCTGATTTGTACAAGTCCGACGCGCGTACGTACAATGAGATAAAATTAAATAGAGCGCACACTTGTGCGCGTGAGAAAGCGTGCGTTGCAAAACACGGAGCTCAGGGCGATCAAAAATCGGTCAGTGTGAAAACAAAAACGGGAGGCACGGACCTTCGACAAAAACGCTCGCGCGTACACACGTGCGTGGCAAGGGCAACGATACGGTGCGATCGATCTTCGCGAGATGATCTCTCGCGGCGTATTGCGAGCGACGATCCTGGACCTCTCATGGACGCGAATCGCCGCGAACGAGACCGAGGACCTAGGTGGGAGAGACAAAAGGGAGGATACGGGGAGAGGAGAGAAAGAGTGAGAATCTGTGGTGGCGAGTCTCGGACCAACGCGCGTGTAATTATCGGTCAGATCGCTATGCGAACGGATGAATTATAACGTCGCGACCGGTGCGAGATGCCGCGCGCTCGCCTCGAGGCGCGCTCGCTCGCACGCCGAGGAATTGACACTCGCAGCCGCACGGGTTATTAATGTCTCATTTGCATCGGCGGTATAGATCGGTCCGCTTTATTAGCGGTCCGCTCCGCGAACAAGAAAGATTTGCCGCGCTCCGTCACTCTGGCGAAACGGTTCGCGGGATATGCGAAATGCGTGGTGTTAGGCAACATTTATTTCGCGAAAGGTGTGCTCTTTCCTTTAAACGTGCATTTTATGACTGATAATGCAGAATTAGCACGGACCCAACGAAGCTTATTAAACAGTTATTCGTAATTTTTTTTAATCGTTAATGATAATTCTAATTATATTTTATACAAATTTCTTGTAGGATATTATTAAAAAAATTATATTATTATTTAATCGGGTATATTCAACGTCTAGCAAATCAAGATGCTGTATAACAAATTTGTTGAGCTTTTTCCGCAAGCTTATTTGCAACATTATGAATTTTCCCGGGAGAATGCGTATTCTCCCGGAAGACCGCAAAGTAATGAAGCGAGGCGCACGCGATTTCGCGATGCCTCAACGGTAATTTCGTAATGCCTGTTGCGAGAGAGGGATCCAGTCCGTGAAAAGTCTTGCAGAGTGCGTGGAAGTGTATCTGGCCGCTTGCACGGCGATTTATCCATGCCTTTGGTGATAAAGCATTGCGCAATGAGCGTTGCTCTAGAGTCTAGCCGGATAAAACGGCGAATCAGATAAAGGCGGGGTGCTCTCGCATGTGAGAGGAGCGTCTATAAATCAGGTGGCTGTCTGTGCCCGCGGTTGGGCACATGAGAGGGCCGGATGAGCTGAACGCGCGCGGGTTTATTAATTAGTCCCGCGGATAAAGCCGTGTAACAGCGTGCGTCTCGCGATCTTTTATACGCGCGCCCGCATTGTCCCGATCGCGCCCCGTGTCAGTTATACCGATTACCTCGAAACGGTGGCCGGAAATGTCGGCGGTAATGTGCAACGCGCCGTGCGTTTCGTATTTCATTTCTTACCGCGCGGCCGCAACAACCGCGGCGGCGAGCCGTAACAGAGCGCGATACATATATCCGGGACCGCGGATTGTTGCGTCTTCAATGCGCCTGTGCGCCTCCGCTCCGTAGGAAGCGGGATGCTGCACCGGTTATCTCGCGTGTCGCCTCGGCGCGCGACGGAATACCTATTCATGAGAAATCGCGATCGAGCCCCACATTTTCATTCCGCGCGCATACGATCGACTTAAAGTATAAGAAGCCCGCAAGCGAACGCGCAAGAGATTCATATCATCATATCGATGCACGTAGACTGGACGCTTCTCATATTTCTTTTAAGTCCGCAAATTTCTTGATATCATATTGACACGGAATTTTCTTTGGTAAAAATGTTAATTTTAGATAGTTTAAATTTTGGTGTTTTTTTCTACAATTTTTACGATTTTTTTAGACAACGGTATCGGCTACCTATGTGGATCTCCATTTTGTGAAAGCCGATTCTCATGGCAACGACATTTAATTTCTCGCGTGTAATGCCAAATTATTCTAACGGTTTGCTTATGGATCGCCGAGAGCCCGAGCGCTCGAAACGTGCGTGATTAAAAACGGATGAATGAACCGCTCCTTCTCTGTCTATCTTTATCGAGAGAACTGTGCTGGGGAAAAAAGTGAAAAGGGACAAGAGAATTATTGCACCCATGCGAATCGACGAATCTCAACTTATCGCGAACGGGGAAACATGACAGGGAAACGCGAGCGATCGATGTATTTATTTTTGCGCGCGAGATTTATTTGTGCGCAATAAAAAATCGCTTTTAAATCGGTCTCTTACCTTCGTAACACGCCACCGAGGAGACTCGCGTTCAAACATTCCGGCGGCGACAGTCGTCTTTGTACCTCCGCTACCGTAACTTTGTACTTGCTGGTGCTGCTTAGTAACGATAATCGTCCTGGGACCGAACAGAATACGTCCGACGGTTGCGCGTTTCCGGACAACATAGCCTTCTCGCTCCTGTCCGAAGGTTTCATATCTGCAAAATTTAAAATGTAACGGTTAGAGTAGCCTTAAGATTCTATCAAGAATATCAAAATATCTATTTGGCATATATCGTACTTTAAGCATAAAACGGACCCTTCGTAAGAAATAAGGAAATAGAAATAAAATAAAATAAGGAACTATATCTATCAACAAGAGGCAAAATGTCAAAATGTGTTAAAAATCTCGGAACGTCAATAAAATAGCAAATAATACGTATAAGATATTTCATACATATATAATTGCGTATAATAAAGAAAAATAAAATATGTACCTTAATACACTTAATTATCTTATTCGCAGTAGACCTTTGGTGTATGTTAATTGAATATGTTGTAAGAATATTAAAATTAGGATCATCAAAGAACTGTCTACGCACAAGATTAATGCGTTGATAAAATTTTAAGACGCGTCAATAAAATAGCAGATGATATGTATGAGATATTTAATGGATATAATTGCTTATAATAAAGAAAGATAAAATTTCGACAAACTACCTTTCGTGTACTACTTAATTATCTTATTTAGTAGATGTTTGGTGTATGCTAATCGAATATATTACGTTCGACATATTGCGCATGGATCGCAAGATCGCTGGAATATCTCGGCAAATGAATGAATACCTTGGCATTACTCATAGCTGAAATACATTGATAGATTTTCAGTTCGCACAGCCGGTGCGACCGTTACGATCTCCTCCCATCGATAAGTTACATCATCGATAAGCAATCGGTGTAATGGCGCGACTTAATAGCTCTAATGAGTCGAGGAAAGATTTACCCGGAGTTATCGGGGGCCCAGCTCAACTTTTTCATCTAACGAGCGTCCAAACGAGTTTTATTAATGGAGTTCGTTATACTTCGGGAATGAGAAATGAATTCCGGCGAGGCGATATCGCGATCGATGTCACGTAGATCTCGCGAAATTTCTCACGATTTATCCCGATATCCCGTTTTCGTTCCCGTCGACAGAACGATAATAATCAGTTTCGTCCAGCGGACGAAGGAATGTAATAATCCAGTTAAGACTGCCGTATAGTCCATTCTCGTAGGTCAAAGTGAGAGATTCGCAACTCGGTGGAGCAAGAAATACCGGAACCAAAGATCCTCCGATCCGAAATTATGTTATACAGCTTCTCTCCCTCCCTTTTTCTCTTCTCTCTCTCTCTCTCTCTCTCTCTCTCTCTCTCTCTCTCTTTCTGTATGTGTTGTATACGTGTATTTACGTGATCGGGGCAATATCTTCGGCGAATATTTTAAATTCGCCCGTACCGTTCCTGTTTTAGCTCCTATGCATCGGCCAGCCCCGCATTATTGCATCGTTGCCCTGGAATGCTTAATATCGTGTCTTGGGGCCCGTACAAAGCGCGTTATTACATGGCAAAGAGATGGTCAACTTATAACTCGCCGGGGCTCTTCATCTTCGCCAACGCACGAGGGATGTATCTTGCGTCAAAATTTTACGTTTCGATACAAGGAAACTGCTGAACGAGAGAGACATTTCATGCGGACGAAATCCTGACCTCGTCTTTTACTAATCAAGAGAAACGCAAATTCCCCGTGATACAAGAACCTCTATTTAAAGGAAAGTTTCCTGCTGCAAATGTACAGGAAACGTAATGCGATATGTAACTTAAATGGCATGACGAAAAGAAAAATACAGTCCTGCCTTGCGAACGGAGAAATTCACCGTGGAATATTTATTGTCTTAATACCAACTATCGCCGCGTTTCGCTTGATACATCGCCGAGGCTTCGACTAAACGCACCGTCATTCAGCGAGTTAATGTCAGCCTGTTATGACAGATACACGAGGACGGCTCTATAAATCTAACCGATAGATATCTCATGGCATTTTTGCCGAGCGTACCATTCTCGTTCCTATCGCTCCTGCGGCGCGACGCGACGCGTTCGTCTCGTTACTCGTCAAAACGTAAAGGGCGATTGCGACGTGCCGAGTTGTACGCCGAGGGCGTACGTCGCCTCGAAAATACAGAGCTTGATATTCAAGCACGGCAAACGTCGAAGTCGTCGTTCAGGTCCTCGCCGCGGCTGCGGCCGTGCCGAGCATCGCGGGCGAGCGAAGGGGAGAAAGTAAACAAGTTGTCCGTATTATCTATGACTGCCGGTATCGATCCCTGTCGATGTCTCGATCCGGCCGGTCAAACGAATAATCAATTTCCGTGCGCACCAAATAGGTCGACTTGTCGAGCTTATAAATTATAACGTTCGAGAGGAAGCCGCGGTGGAAAGATAGAAAGAGAGAGAGAAAAGGAACGGATGCGTAACGGTTCTGGCAGCCGGCGTTGGTCGAACAATTTGGTAACATCGAAATGATGTCGGAGAGAGGAACGGAGAGGAGGGAGGATGGGAAGAAAGGAAGAAACGACGGGTGTCGGCGGGTACACGATCTCCGTGACTCGCGCCGTCAAGCGTGCGTTCCCTCCTCGTTCTTTCCCGGGCCTGATATTAGCGGACACGTTAAGTACGGGTTTTATACGGGTTACATTAAGACAAGTATCGTCCCTTTTTTTTCCTCTCAACGTATACTTTGGCACTTAGGAATATCGGGGGGGACGTTAATATTATCTACTTTTTCCTCCCTTCGCACGATGATATATCTCTTTCTCCCCTTTTTTCACCCGATCGCGCTTGGCTATTCCTACCGGAAGTATTCGCTGTCGACCGACCTCAAGCATTGTTATTTGTGGATGATTTTAATCTTCCTCGTTCAAGATTCGAGTATGCTTTGTACTATATTACTATACCTATATATTCTTGTATCATGGATCGCAGCTGATTGCAACGCGTTGTTTTGCTCGATCCTTGCATAAACAGATTCATCGTAATTCGTAGATGATACTCATTTAAAATTGAACGCAGTTCTGCAATGCGAAACCAACTAAATTTACGCGGAATTTACGAATGGTGGAATAATCCGAAGTATAGCTGCCCTGTTTTCATTGCTGTCGCAATCCGAGACTTGACGTATATCCGCCGAATTTATGGTCGCGTTTAATTGAAATCTTGCAAAATCTATCGCGAAACGCGTAGTTTTCGAAAGACAGTTGTGATTCAGTTCGTCAAGTACCAACGGCGGCACGTACGCGTCGTTAGAGAACATCATTTAGAGAACGCCTAAGTGCTGCGAGCATTTCTAACCGTCCGATGTTGCTATCTCGAACACTTATCTCGATTCTAGTAACGGTTTACGAACGTATTATTAATTTATTTAATGAGAATAGCTCAGGCTTCGCTTATTTTATCCGTCGGGTCGGCATCTATAGTGCAAAGCGTATAATTATTGTGAGCTGCCGTAACCTTTCGCCGTGTGAATTGCAAAACCGTCTCACTCATCGGACGGATGCCACTATCTCTCTATCGCCGCTTAATTACTCACTTCTATGTCGGGTAATTCGATAACCGTGGCAGGAATAAGCGGATTCGTATAAGAACTTGATTCGAGATTCGTCTCCAATAAATCATGATTGATCTCGTTGTCATGCTTACTCTTAATTCTTGCGTAATATATTGATGTAGCATTAACCCTCAATTAGCACACCTCGGTTGGGCCACCTCAAATGCCACACTAGTGCGATTTGAGATTTTGACAACTTTTAACTGTCGTATCTCAGTCATTTTTAATAAAAATTTATGTAAAATTTCCCTGGCAATTGAGTAGTGCACTTTATTTTACGAAAAAGAAATGATTTTTATATGAAAAATTGAAATATATAAGTGCTGAACGAAAAAAAAGTGGTGCGAATTAGCACATGTGTGCTAATTGAGGGTTAAATATAATATATATTGTATATTTATACATTATATGTATATAAGCATATAGTTATATAATATTTATATATTATACAAAACTGAGATATCTTCTCTTTCGTCCCAGGATTTCGGGAACACTGAGAAATAGAATTCCTACAAATGATAATAATTATGAATGTATTCAGCAGCGAACTGTGTCTACGAATGCGCGAGTTATCGAGATAACAATCGCGAGCGTCGTATACACGCTCCGAGATGTGCTCCGCTTCTCTTCGAGCAACAACGCACTCGTGACACGCACTTGAGTCTCTTTCTCATAAAATTGCCGTCGTCGTATTTCAGACCTTTAGATAGTGCTCGGGAAAATAACGCTAGATAATTTGTCAATGCGCTAAGGCTATACGGCTATCGCAGATTCAGCCTGCGAGCGCAGCGCGTCGCGGAACGAAACGTCGTGCGGTTTGTCCCTCGATTAATAATTGCAGATCGGCTCGATAACTCGTATACGAAACGCGCGTTAGGATCTATAATATTCAAGTTTGTTCGCGCATAGTTTGTATATATATCGTTCGCAACCGTTTATACCGTCTGGAGTCTCTCGATTACACAGCAGCCTGAATCACGCGCGACCATGACACAGGAAACACTTTACGTTCTTACGTCTTCGCGTTCTTGCGCGTCTGTTCCGAGAAATATCTCCGAAGAAACCTATGAGAAGAGACTCGGCTCGTAACACGAGCTTTTCTCCTGTCTCGAATCGTGCCCGAAGCATCGAGCGGAATAAGTGAATAAAAATTACTTCGAGTGCATTGGTCTTTTCCGCATTTGTATTGTAAAATGACACAGAATTTTAGATTTCTCCGTTTAGAGAAATATAAAAGATACTGTACTAAAGTGTTGTAACATAATTGAATTTAAATAATTTTATAAATTTTCTTGTATCTTTGAAGAAATGATTGATGATGATTAAAAAATTTCAATTTTTCTCTATCAGACATTATTGAAAATGATATAAAAGATACATAAAATATGCTTAAATTTATAAAAAGATTTATTTATCTGAATAATATTTGTAATAATATGTTTGAAGTAAACAGCAAACCTATGTACATAGATTTCCAACATTAATTTAATAAAATGCTAACTAGGAGAATAAATCTTATTACTTTAACATACGTATATTCACAGATTTACATTCTAAGAAAATGTTGCATTTGCAATTA